ATTTAAGTTTTTATTTCCATCAATTTGACCTATCTCAAATTACATCTCCTATAAAAGAAGAAACAGAAATATACACTGTAAATGTATGCATGTATCTTATTTTGTTTTTATGCTAAAACAATCAAAATGAATCAAATTAAGAAAAATTAAACTATACTTTGTTTTTAATAAAAATATATTAAATGCATGATTTATTAAGAAAATAATTAACTTAAAAAATAATTTTAAATAAAAAAATAAAGAATAAAATAACCTACATCATTCATCGTAATTCAAGAAGTACATTCCCTTCCAATTTTTATTTTATGCTTAAAAATTATGACTTTGACACTTTCAATTCTTCATTCCTATGTAGTTATCTAATTGGAGAAAATGATTCAATTGAAAACTTAGATAAATTTTTTAAAGATTTTTCATTGTTCAATGAAAGTAGCAAACAAAGAATAAAAACGTGACAAACCTTTGAAAAAAAAACTCAAGCATGAATTTATCATATTCACTAAAATTAAATTCAATTTCCGGTAAATCACTTGTTATATTTAACATAACCTCTTAAATCTTGTTAATGATAAATAAATAGGAAAAATTGTCAAAAGTTATACACTTAAAAAAATGAAATAGAAGGAGTAGTTCCTTCAGTTGGAGAAACATTGAATGAAATTCAGAGTGTGAGTTGTGCAGCAGCTTCTGAGAGTCCTTTTAATAGAGTTCTTTTCGTGTCTCTGGCTTGGTGTGGACACTAGGCTTGTGTACTCGGTACGTGGTGTTTCTTATGGACTCATATACCTGCATTATTTTTGGCATTATCTCCATGGAATTAATGTCCAGAATCTAACTATGAAATGAAATATTCACCCTGAAAAACTGGTAATTGAGGTGTAACCAAACAAGTACTTCAATGGTTTTATTTGGTAAAACCATGTCTGAAATAAGGTGAAAAACCATGAGGAATCTGCTGTTTTCATGAGAGAAGAATATATATATATATATATATATATATATATATATATATATATATATATATTCAAGTTCCTTCAAGTTTCTCTTTTATTGCCATATTTGATTTCCTTCATTCTCTTAATACTATTGTTTGAAGAAATATTCACTCTTTCTTTAACAGAGATGTATACATGTATGAATCCAGCAACTTTCATCTTAATCACCAAATAGTTACTCACTTTGTTTCAAATTATATAAGGTTTTATTCAGAAAAAATTGTTTTAAATATATATTACTTGTCAAATTTAAAATTATGCCAGTTTACTTGTTATTTTAATTATATTTATTACAGAGAGAGAATAATAAATTATGATATTAATAAAAAAGACTAACAAATTTATTAAAAATAATGATTATCTTGATCTTTTAACCTAATCTGAAATATCTTAAATTTTGAAATAGATTAAGTCTTTTGCCTAAAAACAGACAACCTTTTTTTCACAAAATTTAATACTTTTGAAACTTCTTTTAGGTAGGGGTCTAGGTGAGACGTAACATGTCCCTTTGTGATAAAAATAACACGTAGCTTTGGACTTATTATAAACAAATTTATTATTCTTGTAGCCATGACTAGATTTGTGTAAAAAATTTATGTTATATTTCAAAATATTTTCGAGGATTTTAAACCCTTCAACAAATTTATACAATCAGAGTAACAATAATATTTTTTAAAGCTTTTAATCTTCTTTAGACCGTTCATTTAAGAAGGGTCAACTTCTAATGAATTTTTTTTCTTTCTTTAAATAGTTGCTTTATTTAATATGTTTAAAGTTTTTTTTTTTGCAAAACTTTTGTAAATCTTTAATGGTATAAAGAAATTAAAAGAAGTTGTTTGTAAGCTTATTGTAAAAGAAATGCAAAATATTGAAGCCTAACTTTTTGTTATTTGATTCATTCTCTAGAATTTTTGAGGTGATGTCGGTAATGAGAGAGAGATTTTCTCTTTCTTCTTTGGAAGACATATCAACCCATTCCTCCACGTTCTCATGAATATCTTGATATTTTTTTAAGAAGGATATCTTCTTGTCTTTCTCAGTTTTAGGGTTTTCTGACTTCAACACAAAGGTAACATATGAAAGGTGTTTTTGTCTCTTTATTTTAATATTGGTTCTTCCTTTTTATTTGCGATTTTATATATAATTGTGTCTGTGGTGAAAAAGTTTTAATATATTAGGTGCAAAATTCAATACAACAAAAATAATAAAATAAATAACATACATATGTAAGTGTTTTGGCAAAAAAATCATCGTAAAAAACTATACATACGTAATTATAATAAAAAAAAACTTGAATGCTGAAACATTTTTTCTTTTTCATAGAGTCATTAGTGAACTTGTAAACCTGGAAATTTAAAGCTAGGGTCTCTACGTACAAGCTTTGACTATTTATGGCGAGAACGTGCTTACGCATTCATAATTTGCCGAGTGTAGATGCTGAACAACTTGCTAGCTGGTGTTGTCAGATTATCATGACTTGTGTTAATCATTTTGTTGACCCATTGGAATACATATTTTTAGTACCATCTTTTAGTTGTAAGTATATCATGTCTGCAATATTGCAGAGTGAATGCAGCAAAATGCTTTCATTGTAAGTATGCACAGTGGGGTCGTAGGGGCCTGAGACAAGTGTGTGCAATAATGCATAACTGCATGGATTCCATGTAAGAGTGCAGTGTTCAACATTGAAAATCCTCCTCCCTTGAGCATTTTTAAGAAATCAATCATAAATTAACAATGAAAAAGAATGCGTGGATAAGTTGGAAGAAGACCTGCATATTGAGGCCGTTGTCATTAATTTGTTCCTTAATGATTTTTCTTTTAGGATGATTATATTCTCCATCTTTTACATAATTTGTTCTTTGATATCTGAATGGCAGGTTTTGAGCCCGTTTATGCAGAACTTTATAGTACTAAGCGATCAGTGAATAGATAAGAAAATGTTGCAAAACATACTTTGAATTCATCATGGAATATATAAATACAGTTGTAAGATGAGTTTTTTTATGAGATTTTTTTTTTCGGATTAAATATTTAACTTAATAAAAATGTGGTGGTATTTTTGAAATTAAAGAATTTTTTTTATGTCATATCTCCTAAGTAAAAATTATTTTATATCTTTCTTAGATTTTCGTATTCTTGGATGTACTTGTGAATATTTTAGGTGTTTTTTGACCATCTTGAGAGACAAAACATTATTATTGTGATCTAATTTGTGGTTTTGAATGTTTTTTCCTTGTTAGATTGAAACATTTAGACATCTATTTGTTGAGACTGAATAAACCATTGATAGTATATATCGGGTCTCACATTCAAGATAACCACCTCTTATAAGAATAACGTATTAATTTTTTTTCAAGTTTTCATTTCTATTTCCATCTCCATTTAATTAAGATTTCATTTTAATTTTCTATAATTATTATTTTGATTTGAATGTCATCGACCTCTTATTTGAATATGATAGTGTTTAGACATCGACCTCTCATGAACGTGTTCAACAGAAATATTTCCATTCACAAGTATGCATTTGTGACTCTAGTATCTACTTCCTTAACGATGTTGACGTTGGTCTGGCTTCATTCATTTAGTATATAAATGCATTCTCAGAGGTAAAGCTTATGTCATTGCTAATATTTCCTACTTTTTATTATTATTATATTATTATTATTAATTAGGATTATTTGTTTTATCTAAGATTAACTTTGGAAATGTCTAGATTTAAAAGTTAATGTTTATTTTATATTTGTTTGATACAATTATAAGATCATGAAACTATTTTAAATTATTTTTCATTCTTATTCGATTGCTGAAAATTTATTTGAATCGTAATTAGTCTGATATAAATTTATGTCAATATATTATTTAATTGTAAATTTATATATCTCCTATTTACATTAGAGATTTAATCCGTCATAAATTTAAAATAATATTCATGAAAAAAAATTCATATATATACAATAAAGATCTAACATATTATATATATATATATATATAAACATCATATACCCAAAAACATTCTATCTTGATAAATAAAAAATAAGAATATCTCTAAAATAAGAGAGAAAACGCTATTAATATTTTTTTAAATTGTAATAACCAACGTATTTATAATTACTTTTTATAGTATCATAGAAAAATGTTCTTAATTTTGGTTTGTAAAATCATAATTATATATATTATTATGTTTTGTGAATATTTATACATATCTATATGAAAATTAAGACATCAGATCCCAAATATCAAATACATTTCAGTGTATATTACAGTCCCTATACAATGGATAAATGTATGTCGTTGGATAAAATCAAATGACTGAAATCTAACTGCACTATTATGATTTATGAATAATTGAACTGACTACAAAGAATCTCGACTGCACCAAATTGGGGTTATTTTATACAGTTACTTTTACACTATAAGATAGTGCTTATTTTTCTGTTTCTCCTCTCTGACCTTCTTCAGTTCTGGAGGCTTGTAAAAGTCAGATCCTTCTGTAGCTTACTCAGTACTTTCAACAAGACTGAAACTTTTTTTTTTTCTTACCTTATGTCCTCTGCTACCATTGTTGTTCCTGCAGTTTCCCATGTGATCTCTTGAAGCTAAAATTGGGACACCCTTTTATAGATATTCAATTTCCTTTACCCTAAACAGTTTTTTTGGATATTTATTATTTAAAGCTTTTCTGATGAATTTTTTCAAGGATAAGGTTTCTCCAACTTAGAATTCAAAGAGGGCAAAATTTAAAAAAGAGAGCTTTGAAATAATGTAGTGATGGAGAGAAAAAAAATGAACAGAAGGTTGAACTTGTTGCACCGAGCTAAATAAAATAGAAGTTTGACCCACAATGGATTGGTGCAGTGAATTAGCAAATTTACACTACTGAATAATTAGTTGCCCACCTTAGCAATTTGAATGTAATCATTTTAGTAAATTCTACAAATTTGTTCCACTTCATGAGTCAATTGAAGGAGACAGTGGTACATTCAGTGACTTGAATTGAATCTGTTAATCATATTTGCTTCCATCTCCCACACTTTCATTCCTTGGTTGTTCTAGAATCTTCTCTAGTTCTTGAGGGTGGCAGGGAATTTCCAAAACCCCCTTTTGCCTGAAACCATACTCTTCTCTTGCCCGCTCCAGCAGTCCCAAAAATGCAGGGTTAGTCAAATACTGCAACTTCACAATAAACCGTTTGGTTTCTTCACCCTTATTAGCAACAACCACAAAGTGTCCTTCCAAAACGTCATCTGGCACTTGTGCTGATGCATTTAGTGGATCTTCGTTGACCATCCGTGTTAGTGATCTCCTTATTGGGGCTAAGAATTCGGAGAGACCATAGTGTATCTTTCCAAAGAAAGAGAAATGTTGCAGGTAGCATCAATTGTCCTGTGACGAAGGTCAGGTGGGCCGAGTCACAATTGAATCGTGGCGCTTGGGCTGTTAAAGTAAAAAGAGTTGCGCTCTGACTAATGACTATAGCTTTTGGCCTAGTGGTAAGCGCTCGATCCTAACAATTGGTATCAGAGCTGGTTGTTAGTTCTGTAATTTTTGTGGTGTTACTATTCATATGAATAGTAAGTTACTATTCCGTGAATAGTGAAAACGTGAATAGTGCAAATTTTGTCGGCGTTACAAATTTGCCCGCAGTCGTGTTCTGAAACACGGTAGCTCACAGAAATTGTCAGAAACGATCCAGCAGATAAGTCAGATCAGAGTTGGAGTGATGGCTGCAGACGAAGGAAAAATGAAAATCGAAAGGTTCGACGGTACGAGACTTTGGCTTCGGAAGATGCGAGATAGAGGATTATGCGTATCGAGAAGAAGATGCATCAACCACTCACGGGGAGAAGCCAGAAACCATGAAAGAGGAAGAATGGAGACTCCTTGATAGACGAGGCTCTTGGAGTTATTCGTCTAACATTATCCCGTAATGTTTCTTTCAACATTGTGAAAGAAAAGACGACCTCGAGATCTCATGAAGGCTCTTTCCAACATGTACAAGAAACCATCGGCCTCAAACAAAGTTCACTTGATGAGGCGATTGTTCAACTCGCGGATGTCGAAGGTGCTTCGGTGGCAAATCATCTCAATGAACTCAACACCGTAACAACCCGGTTGAGTTCTATTGACATCAAATTCGATGATGAAGTATAGGCTTTAATACTTTTGTCTTCCCTACCGGAGAGTTGGAATGCTACGGTCACAGTTGTGAGTAGCTCATCGGGAAACAATAAGTTAAGATTTAATGATGTTCAAAATTTGGTTCTCGGCGAAGAGATCCGGCGGAGAGAGTCGGGTGAAGCATCAACCTCTTCGATGTGCATACGAGTCAAGAGGAAGAAGTTCAACCAAAGAAATTGGACATGGAAAATCAAAGGACGGGCGGTCCAAGTCCGAGAAATCATCGTAGTTCCCACAACTCAAAAACGATCGAGTGTTGGAATTGTGGGAAGGCCGGACACTTCGAAACCGAGTGCAAGAGTGCACGGAAGAATCAAGGAGCAAAGGACGAAGCAAACGTTGCCTCCACCTCGGGAAAAGATGAGGCGTTGATATGCTCTCTTGAAGGCGGGGAGGAGTCTTGGGTGTTAGACTCCGGAGCATCTTTTCATGCTACCTCACGGAAGGAAGCTGTTGGAGAATTATGTTCCGGAAACCTTGGTAAGGTTTACCTTGGTAATGAACAATCATGTGAGATTGTAGGCAAAGGTGCGGTAAGGATTAAGGCTGAATGGGTCCGTATGGGAATTGAAAAATGTCGGACATATTCCCAGACCGACAAAGAGCTTAATCTCGATGAGGTCGATTAGCTAGTGAAGGCTATACGACAATCTTCCATGGTGATGAATGGAAGATCTCAAAAGGTGCGATGACGATTGCTCGAGGCAAAAAGAGTGGAACTCTCACAAGGCTGCGAGGAGCATGTCATTTGATTGCGGTTGCGACAAATGAAAATTCCAACATATGGCACCAAAGACTTGGACATATGAGTGAGAAAGGAATGAAGGTCATGCACTCGAGAGGAAAATTACCGAGTCTTCGGTCGGTAGATATTGACATGTGTGAAGGCTGCATACTTGGAAAGCGGAAGAGAGTCGGCTTTCGGACAAGTAAAAGAACCCCAAAGAAAGAGAAGCTTGAGCTCATCCACTCGATGTTTGGGGTCCAACGACTGTCTCATCCGTTGGTGGGAAGCATTACTTCGTGACTTTCATTGATGATCACTCCGAGAAAGGTATGGGTTTACTTTACGAAATATAAGTCGAAGTATTTGAAGCTTTCAAGATATGGAAAGCTATGGTGGAAAATGAGACAGGATTAAAGATTAAGAAGCTCGGATCCAGACAATGGTGGTGAATATGTAGACACCAAATTCAAGAAGTTTTGCTATGAGCACGGAATCGGAATGGAGAGAGCCGGTGCGGGTACGCCTCAACACAATGGTGTAGGCGAGCGTATGAATCGAACGTTGGTCGAAAGGGCCGAAGCATGCGTGTGCGATCGAGCTTACCAAAGCGGTTTTGGGCGAAGCGATCAACACGGCGGCTTACTTGATCAGCCGAAGTCCATCGGTACCATTGGAACACAAGATACCGAGAAGAGGTATGGAGCGGAAAAGAGGTAAAACTCTCACATCTTAGAGTTTTTGGTCGTGTAGCATATGCGCATATCGGTGATCAAGGCAGAAACAAACTTGATCCAAAATCAAAGAAATGTACTTTCCTTGGTTATGGTGAAGATGAGTTTGGCTACCGCATATGGGACGATGAAAACAAAAAGATGATCCGCAGCAGAGACGTAATCTTCAATGAAAGAGTGATGTACAAGGACAAGCATAATACGAGTGCCGGCAACTCGAAGCGAGTGGGCCGGTTTATGCGAGAGGTGGAAGATATCCCGAGAAAGTCCTATAATGAGGAGTCCTCGACCGGAGGAATCGGTTGAAGAACTTGATGTGCAAGCGGAACCTCCTACTCCAACTCCTGTATTGAGAAGGTCTTCTCGGCCTCATGTGCCTAACGGGAGATACATGGACTATATGTTGTTGATCGATGGAGGGAGCACGAAGATTATACGGAAGCTTGTCAAGCCACGGATGCTAGCAAGTGGGAGCTTGCCATGAAAGACGAGATGAAGTCTTTGATCTCAAATCGGACATGGGAACTAGTCAAGTTACCTATGGGAAAGAAAGCACTTCACAACAAATGGGTGTATCGAGTGAAGGAAGACCATGATGGTTTTAAGAGATACAAAGCTCGACTGGTCGTCAAAGGATTTCGGCAGAAAGAAGGAGTCGACTACTGCCGAAATCTTTGCTCCGGTTGTAAAGCTCAATACTATCGGGATTCGTGTTAAGTATTGTGGCTAGTGAGGAGCTCTACCTAGAGCAATTAGATGTGAAGACCGCATTTCTTCATGGAGATTTAGATGAGGAGATCTACATGCACCGAGCTGAAGGTTTTCGGAAGGAAAGAAGAACTTGGTGTGCGAGATTGAAAAAGAGCTTGTATGGCACGAAACAAGCTCCAAGACGAGTGGTATAAGAAGTTCGAAAGCTTCATGCACAAGGAGAGTTTCCGGAAGTGCAACGCGATCAACATTGTTTCTTCAAAAGGTATAAGTCCGGTTATATCATTTTGCTACTTTATGTTGATGATATGCTAGTAGCGAGGTTCGAGATATGAATGAGATCATAAACTTAAAGAAGCGAGTTGTCAAAAGAATTTGACATGAAGGACTTAGGCCCAGCAAAGAAGATTCTTGGAATGCAAATCACGAGAGATAAGCAAAAAGGAGTTTTGCGGTTATCTCAAGCGGAGTACATCAACCGTGTTTTGCGAGAGATTCAACATGGACAATGCCAAACCGATCAATACACCTTTGGCTTGCCATTTTCGTCTATCCAAGGATCAGTCTCCTCAAACAAAGGAAGAAGAAGAGTTAATGGCTAAGATTCCGTATGCTTCGGCCATTGGAAGTTTGATGTACGCGATGGTGCGTACGAGGCCGGACATTGGCCATGCGAGTGGGAGTTGTAAGCGAGATTCATGTCAAATCCGGGAAAAGCTCATTGGGAAGCGAGTCAAATGGATTACGAGGTATCTACGAGGCACAACGAGAAAAATGTCTATATTTTAGAAAAGGAGATCTAAAATTGCGGGAGCTACGTAGATGCGGACTTTGGAGGTGAAGTTGATCACTGAAGAAGCACCACTTGGGTATGTGTTTCTTGTTGGAACTACAGTTGTTAGTTGGATGTCACGGATACGGAAGATTGTTACTTTATCCACTACGGAAGCTGAGTATGTAGCGGTGACGAAGCCGGTAAAGAATTGATATGGCTTCAAGGATTGTTGGCGAGTTGGGATTCATTCAAGAAAGGAGTGTTTTGCACGGTGATAGTCGAGTGCAATACATCGGCAAAAAATTCAGCATTTCACTCCGGAACCAAACACATCGACATACGTTATCATTTAATCGGATCTCTACTTGAGGATGAGATGCTAACATTGAAGAAAATTGTGGGAAGTAAGAACCCAGCGAGATATGCTAACAAAGGTGGTGACTATTGACAAGCTGAAGTTATGCTCAACTTCGGTTAGCTTACAAGGATAACGAGACAAGAGAAGACTACTATTGATCAAGGTGTGAGGACAAATTGAAATCGGTCCTCAAGTGGGAGATTGTTGGTCAAAGAAAGTGGGCAAGGGTGGGCTGCAATTGGTCAAAGAAAGTGGGCAAGGGTGGCTGCCAAATTTTTTATGTAACCATGAGGTGCTCATGGGACATATTTTAATGTAATGCATAGTGCCAATTTTTTGCTATAAATTGGTCTTCTTCCTACAAGCAAGAGCATCCCATCCCACACAAAATACTACTTCTCTTAGAGAAGAAAGAGTGGCACCGAGTGAGAGGCGAGAAAAACTAGAGAGTTTTAGTTTAGCTTCGGGTGTAATTGGGTTGTGAGTTGTGAGTGTTTTGGGAGTGTTTTGTAAACACTTGTGTATTTTTCTTTTCTCCTAGTAAGAGATCTGTAGTAGTCCGGAGACGTAGGCATTATTGGCCGAACTCCGTTATCAACTTGTGTGTGCAATTATTCCGCTTTTATTTCACTTTCACAGATCTGACCATATGGGAAGATTCCGCATATTTTTCCCAACAAGAAAAGCATCATGAACTTTGTACTGCAATATTATATCTTAATTAATTAAACTCTTGATGATCAAGCTATGCTTGGAAAAACTTGTTTGATAGATGAGGTTGTAGTTTTATGATTGTGGAGTCTGGAT